GCTGATACATGCTTGTAGTGACGGCCGAGTCCGCAACTACATCGAATAAATTTTATCCCGACACACACATAGGCGCAACTAGCGCGCGCTCTACACAACCAGCAGTTCCCACGTATCGCCTTGTATGGCGCGGAGACCCATAAAGCGCGTCTTTCCCTTCAAGTACACCAGTCTGGGCTCGTGCACAACCCTTCGCTCCACACGGCCCACCATGCTGCGACAGCTGGCGTAAGACGCATCATCTTGGGTTTCGAGCAGCGAAGGCGACGGCGACGTCATGAGGTCGCGTATCTGCAGAGCATGCCACACCGTCTCGACAACGTCAGCGACCGTGACCCACTCTCGATCACCCGACCTCTGAATGACTATGGGCCATGGAAGCTTTGGGTGGACAATAGCCAGTGACGGAAGGGGCGGGCTGGTTGCAACCTCGTTCACGCAGCCTTCGTGACCAAGAACGCGTACGCTCGACAGACTGCGAGCGAAGTCTAGCTCCATTATCTTCTCTCCTCGACTCGGCCGTAACAGTGGATGGATTATCATCGGGGTATCGCTCTCTGTCTGGGACGGCAGCGGGATGTGACGATGGCGCGGTTTACCAAGGACGGGTGATGAGAGCGGCGCGACATATTCGCGAATATATCCCGTATATGACGCATCGGGATCAGATACATAATGGCGGCGAACAGGGACCGTCGTGGTCAGCTGGGGGCTACCATAGACGGACATAGTGAGAGACGCTCTTGACGGGGTGGAGAGCACCGTTGTCGGCGATGAATACAGTTTGGGGGGTTCTCTACCCCGCTGCGTCATCATTGTTGCTATGTCTTCTCGTTGGACGGGCATCCTCTTCGTCCCAGCGTCATTCATGGAACAAATCACAAAAAGAAGGACCTACAGATGAATAGAGAGGCTTAGGCTTACTCGAACGTGTGAGGAGGGAAGGGTGGAAGGGTGGAAGCGGATGACGGTGGTGGTTTGAGGGAGAGTTGTGAGAGCATGGGGAAGGATGGGGTTGCTTTATATATAGTATGTGCCCCCTCCAGATATTGAATGGAAACCTAACCTACCTTTTCTTAGGGTTAGGATTCCGCTTTTGTCAAATCATAACCAACAGCACCTATATCATCTTTGTATCTTTCAAACTGCTCTTGAACTGCGATTCCGGCTTCTTTCCAGTAAAACAGTGTTTCCTGAGCTGTAGTTCAAGCACCCATCCTCACTACTTGCTACCCATCCTGCTCTTAAACCATAGCTCAGACGACGAAGCCATTATCATTGAAAACTCGTCTTACTCGTCAGGCCGGTGGCGGATTTTAAAACATTATATCAAAGGAAGATAACAATAGTGCCCCGGAGCACTCTTTGGCGTGTCGACTGTGAAAGGTGGTGATGACTGTTCAACATCCACGAATATCATCCCAAAGAACGCAGGTTTCCTCGTCATACGTTCGCTTGTCCTTCCAGGCTGGGGTCCCCACGGGATGTCATGGATACAGAACGGCGGCTAACTATGTCTCGTGTGGTATACATCACTCGTCGTGCAACTCTTCCACTGAATCCCTGCGGAGTGGGCGTCAAACACAAAGACAAGGGAAAAAAGGCGAAGTTATCGCTGGCAGTGCCGAAGTATTTTGGAGTCCGAATTAAGACCAGCCTGGTAGCATTCAAGATGTTACCAGAAGTGTCTTGTGAGGTGTTTTCGATAAACTTGTGGTAGAACTTTACTCGAAGCTCCTTTACAGGAACCATGCAGTTCTCGGCGCGACTCTTACAGTGGTAACGGCAAAGGAACTGTTAACCATGAAGGGCTACCTAATGTCATCCTTAGCGGCAAACAGGGCGATGCAGAGCGTGATGAGTGATTGAAAAAATTACCAGGCAACCAATTCACTGTGAGCAATCTGCCTCGCTTCATCACATTTACAATCTCATCATCCGTTCAGTACAGCCATTCTAAAGTCACCATGAATATATTCATGACATGCGACTCCATATGCGAGGGAATTTGACTCTACGTCGACCAAGATAATTGATGGGAACAGGGTTGCGGTGAAACCAGTCAGGCAGCCAGGACTCGAGGTCAGCATTTTTGTGAGCATATATACGTATCTAATTATTCTAGTCCAAGACAAAGCGCTTTATCTCCTTTGTTATCAATAACAGAGAAAGCGGTGAAAGACATGATAGAGCGGGAGTGTTAGACGAGAACACAAGTGTCACTTTCAAGGCTGGAGCTGAGCCAGCACTCATCGGTTTGTCACCCCTATGGCATCGCAACCTGTCCTCTGTCTTTTCCTCAAAATGACTTTCTTCTTCTTTGACTAAAATCCCGCTTATTCCTATCGACTCGAGGACATCCATCGGAGCAATACTATCCCTTGCCAACTTTCAGTGCCCCACCCTAGTCCTCAAGCGCCAAGCTTGGGTTTCTAGACCTACAGTACCAACAGGGTGGTGATAAGCGTCCCGATGGCGCAAGACGATGCTACGGGAACGAGGGCACAATCGAGACGACTCACGAGGGTTGTCTACCCCGACTACCTCCGTAATGGAGGAAATGCACTAAGAGATGCCATGCCCGATGCCGCAGATCACTGTGAGTAGTTGGCGCTGCTGTTGAAATACTCGAGCGCTAATAGTGGCGATTTTGTAGCTAGCTCTTGCCGTTTCCTGGATGGGCTTCAAGAGGCCCAACTTGCATCTTACATGTCCGCACCTGGATGCCTGTCGGATGCTGGGTCCGCTTTCCTTGATATCAACTAGATGTTTGCTGCTTGTTGTTGGACTCAGCCCATCTACCTCGCATCCTTCCTTCGGTACCGATCCTAACGCTCAATCTATGAGGAGGGGCAGACACATACTGCCGTATCTTTAGTCGGTGGGCTTAGCTCATTGACCTCGACCAGAGGCTTATACTCTTCCTTTCCTGTTCCCTCTCCTCCCGGTTCTGGCCACAAGATGGATGGATTAGGGTGTGTCGTGCTCGCGATGACAACGCTTCGCACAGTGATCCTAGACGTACGAGATAAGAATGTCACTCCTTGTATGGGCAGCGCACAGGAACTTTCGTGTGCACCCACGTTGGGACGAGGTGGAATGTAGCAGGAAGACGAGACTCTTTCGGTGACCGGAGTTTTTCGAGAGGCTGGTATAACCCTAACCTTACTGCTCCCAGAGTTAAGGGATTTTGAGTCGACGCCTTGGACAGTGCTGCTTGCGACATCGGCGGTCAACACTCTTTCACGCTCTGGCACTCGTATCAGCGCCTGTTCTTCTAGAGGTAGCTCATTGTTTTTATCGATTGAGCGTGGCTGATATCACTCTTATAGTACATACAGATGAGTGTCCAATTATTGCACCATATAAATATCCCGACGGCGCGACCTGCACGCCCTACGCGACAAGTAGTTCCCAGGTGTCGCTCCCTATCGCACTGAGACCCATGAACCGTGTCCTTCCCTTCAAATACACCAGCCTGGGAACCATTTCTCGTTCCACTCCACCCGACATGCTGCGATAGCTGTTAAACGTCACATCCTTCTGATAATTGAGCAGCGACGATGTCGACGGCGACGACAACCTCATGGGGTCGCTCATCTGCAACACATGCCACAGTGTCTCGACAACGTCAGCTACCATGACCCACTCTTGATCACCCGACCTCTGAATGACTATGGGCCATGGAAGCTTTGGGTGGACAATAGCCAGTGACGGAAGGGGCGGGCTGGTTGCCACCTCGTTCACGCAGCCTTCGTAACCGAGAATGCGTATGCTCGACAGACTGCGAGTGAAGTCTAGCTCCATCATCATCGAGCTATGGCTCGGTCGTAACAGTGGATGGATTCTCATCGGGGTATTGTTCTCTGTCTGGGGCGGCAGCGGGATGGAACGATGACGCGGTTTACCAAGGGCGGGCGGTGAAAGGGGCGCGACATATCCCATACATGACGCGTTGGGTTCAGATATACAACGGCGGCAAACAGGGACCGTCGTGGTCAGCTGGGCGTCACCGTAGATAGGCATAACGATAGACGCCCTTGACGGGGTGGAGAACGCCGTTGCTGGTGATAAATGCAACTCTTGGGCCTCTCTACCCTGCTGCGTCATCATCGTTGCCATGTCTTCTCGTTGGACGGACATCCTCTTCGTCCCAGCGTCATTCATGAAACAAATCACAAAAAGAAGGACCTACAGATGAATAGAGATGCTTAGGTTTACTCGAATCAATGGGGACGTGGGAGGAGGGAGGTGTGGAAGGGTGAGAGCGAGTGATGGTAGTTGTTTGAGGGAGAGTTGTGAGGGCACGGGGAAGGATGGGGCTGCTTTATATATGGTATGTCCCCCCTCCAGATATTGAATGAAACCTAACCTACCTTTTCTTAGGGTTAGGACTCCGCTTATATCCAAATTAGCCGAAAGCGTGTATATAATCGTTGTACCTTTCGGGGTGCTTCTTGCTTGCAATCTCGGCTTCTTTGAGTCAAAGAGTGTTTCTCTGAGCCGTGGTTCAAGTATACATCCTTACTGCTTGCCAACCTTCCTGCTCTTGAACCACGGCTTAGACGACGAATCCCAAACGAATCCATCATCGTGCAAAAGTGGTTCTACTTGTCAGGCGGGTGGCGGATTCCAGAGCACCATATGGAAGGAAGATGATAATGGCATCATGGAGCACTCTTTGGCCTGCCGTCTTTGAAAGGTAGTGATGACCGTTCCGCGACTTACTTGTCATTGGTTCAACATCCACGAATATCATCCCTGGGATAACACGTTTCCTCGTCACATCCTCCCAGGCTGAGGTCCCCACGAGATGGCATGGATACGGAACGGCGGCTAACAACGTCTCCCGCGGTACATCACTTATTGTGCAACCCCCCTTCCACTGAATCGCCGCGGAGTGGACATATTGTCATATTGTCTGTGTGTCTAGTTCTAACCAGTAATGTCAGCGTTTACCGTGAGCGTGTCGTAATCTCACATTGCATGTTTGCATATGTGCCCGCCTAGCTCAATCGGATAGAGCGTCAGACTCTTACGTTGCCAGGCGGTTTGTGATCTGAAGGCTGCGAGTTCGACCCTCGCGGTGGGCTAGTATTCAATATTTTGCCCTGCCCATCCCGGTTCTAGGCCTCAGCCGCCTTACTGCTTCCAGCCTCTCACTACTAATGGTAAAATTTAATACTGATCAATAGCTAATAGCAAAACCAAGTTTGGTACACGATCCAGGGGAATTTCACGATTAAGCATCCATCCTATGTTTCTTTTTTGCAAGGGACACTGTCGAGATTGAAACTCCCGGTAAAGACACCGAAAATGTGAGAAAAACATTCTTATATGTGTAAGAAGCGATGTGCCTGAGTTCCAGAACGATACGAGGAGAAATGGATAGGATGAACGATGGACCGCGGGTAGGACGCGAGAAGAAAGGTGACTGGGGAAGGTAAAGCTGGCAGTTGTTTGGCACGTCACAGGGGACTGGGATCTGCACGTTAGCCAATTCACCTAGTTGCGCTCGTAACCATGCATCCCTTCCAAGCATCCAGATCTCTAGCTACAAGCGCAGGATTTATACTTGTGCCGTTATGTAAATCTTCGTTATCATGGGAATATTATAAGCTCCGCTAAGAAAGAAAAGTGTTCGTTATTCTTCCTTCACACTTGATGGCACGGACCAGACATGGTAATGGAAAGTACAGTGCTGGAATCCATATTCGTGACTGCTTAGTCAATGAAAGTCACTGTTACGAACTTTGGGTGAAGAAAATTCGGAGAAGACGACAACTCGCATTACTTCTGGTCCTACCGGCGTATCATCCAGGAAAGATATAATCATCGAGGATAACTTGAGGTGAATCGCTGTGTTGCCTGCGGTCTACAAGTCGGTGTACGCCTTGAAACCAAGCATAAGTTAATGATTATGAAAACAAAGCATATGCTAGCCTCCCAGTGAATATCCAAGCAATTTGCGTCGACACCTTATTTTGAAGGAGTCTGCTTGAGATCGTACTCGTATAGGCTCTTTGCGATGTCGCACAATCTGACGGTGCGCGACAAGTAAGATTTCACGACTTTAGCAGTGGTCACTTCACCCAATGGTGCTAAAGCTGAGTCGTTGGTCTTAACGGAAATTTTTGGACACCGTTACGAACTTCAAAATGGCAGTGCTTTGGCGTTTATTCGTTGAAACCCCGGATCAGGTGCGCTGCCGACGTCGCAACACAAACTGTACGGTTAAGAGATGCAGGTCCTGCCAGTGCAATCGCATACAATTCAAAAGGAAGAAGGGCTGCCCGCAGACATCGAAGGGTAGAAACATGCGGTAGCTGGGGGGAAAAGGATTACGTTCTCACGCCTTCGACGCGTTTCGGGCCGACGATCTGAAAGCTCGGACGCAATTGACCTCCGAGAGACGAGCTGCCGTTTCAAGTTGTCACTTTTGACCTTTTGACCTCAACCACAATTCTCTGACCCAATTACTAAGATGTTACTATGTGGTATTGGTATCCCTACGACTCGAATACTAAATTGGTTACTAGACCATATTCATCCTAAAAAGGTAATGAACGCCCACTTGCATGCTCCACCTTCATTTACTAAAAGCTACTACTTCCTCTACGTAGTAGTAATAACTGACAGATTGGCTTAGAAAGGAACTGCAATACTGGATGCTCATCCTAGTTGGTGGTCTGGAAAGTGGCAGTCGAGGTCCTGATCCATAGCAGTGTACAAGACTTGGCCCAAGACCGAAAGTCGGGCCAGACCAAGCGAAGCCAAGACCTAAAAAGCCCGGCCCGGCGGCAGGAGTTCATCAAAGCTCGGGCTTAGACTTGGACCGTCGAAGAAAAATCAAGCCCCGGACCGCCCGACTCGAGGAAGTGAAAGGCGGGAAAAAATGGTATTCTGGTATAATTACTTGCCAACTGGATGGTAGCACTGCTTTGAACAGTGTTCGGTTTGATATCGACACTCTGCGAGGTCCTGATTTTTCTCCGAGTGTTGCTTGTCCAGTTCCTGGATTCTTAGTTTTTACCCACACTGACTGCGGAAAGCGATGTGACACCTCAAACTACATCGATTACTAATTAAAGCACTGTAATTTGTCTTGGCCATATTGCTACTAGGATTGCAGAAAATATGTACTGAATGTCCTTGTTAGCCCACCATAGTACTAATTGCTGTTCCCAGAAAGGCGCTGCTCGCGGCGGCCCGCTTTAAATCACTCATAAAACGGTAGTGGTTTTGACGTACTCTCCAACTGAGTTCAAGTACCTTTCGATCCTGGGAATCATGATTCTCCATGACCTTGGAACATCAGTAAATAGAGATAGTATATGGCTCGAACAATAGCAACTTCCAATGCAGGAAAGAATGACGGCGAAGCGACAAACCATCCAGAGTCGGGTGGGGTATTATTTGAGCCGCCAACCGAGAAGATATCTATGACTGGTACGGGAGTTTGAAGACCGTATATATGGGTTAGTACTCACCTATATACGCCTTTAATTCATTGGCGTTTCCTGTCATTGGGTTCTTCTATTTTCTACTAGCTGTACGCGTGAACTCGTTTGGCCTCCGCGGTGGGGGTAACCTGGGCGTCGTAGCGATGGACGTACTGACCGCTACTCCCTGTTCGAGGCAGCGGTGTAGTACCTCTTCCTCCTTGCCACGTTCGCCAGTAATTTAGCTGTCGTTTTTTCCGGTTTCCTTCCATGCACGCGGAAGACTTGTCAAGGCCGCTATAGGAAATGCCCAGCATAACCAAACGGTCATCATTAGCCGCGATGCAGCGCAGCTTGTTAATCGCCCATCTCTCCTCAATATCATGATTCGACTAACTATCACCATCCTCGTCTGTATAGATATCACCCTCCTATCCGGGATGATATACCTGAATTTTCACGATATTTTGGAGCATCGCCTGGTCCCTGCTCCTCAGTATCAGCTACAGCCACTGCGAGGGGTAGCAAAACCCGGGCAACCGTCTGAGTCCAAAATGGACACCCATGCAGACTTCCTACCAATGGGCGAAGACTACACTCTGGCGCGAAGTACTGCATGGGTTCCCTTGCGCTTGAGTGAGTGTACCTCTGGTATGCCAGGCCATTATGCGCCATGCATAGCCCAAAGGTTGGGGCAGAACGTGGTCCACGCAGAAGAGCTGCTCTACCCATCTTTCCAAATTCGTCAGCCCTATTTTGCCTCGAACGCGCACAAGGACAGGTGGAGAGATATCGCGATGGGGATTAAAGAGCGTGGGGTGCTACAGAATGACGGTTGGCTCGTGTATAAGGGACAATCTGGACAAAACTTCGTGAGTGCATGGTTTTCCGTGTAGGCTAGTACTTACAGTATAATGATAGGTATTTGAGAATGTTTCCTACAGACACTCGGGAGGTTATGATAACTGGTCAGCGGATTCATGCATGTCAGACCTCGTTTCTTCGGACGGCCTCAAGACGTTTGAACCGATTGAATTGCTGGGGAGATCCAGCCCACCCACCATATATCGAAATGCGATGTTAGCCACCTCACCCGACTCATATTCCTTCCAACACTATCTGGATCGTATCACCCACATCATCACTCAGGGTGCACATCTTATCGATGTCAGCGACCTCCCGTATGTTATCACGGGACGACGAGGCAACCAGTTTGTGCAGCAGCTCTGGGAAAAACTAGGCTTCGATGATAAGCACGTCCTACACAGCATAAGCACAGACGTATACGCAGAGAATATGATCTTCTCGTGTCGGGCGGTCTTGGTCCATCCGTTCCTCTCGTTGAGGACGCTTGAGGCTTTTGGTATCGACTCGATGAAGGAGTCCTCAACCAGGAATAAGGTAAGTGATTCCGTGTCGGTTTCTTGCCTGAACGCTACTCACCCCATCGAAATGACTAGATCATGTACATGTCACGATCCAACAATCGTGCCAAGAATGGCGGACGCAGAGTACTCAACGAATCAGAGCTCCTCGATGCCATCCGTGTGCTACTCAGAGAGCGAGGAAAGGGCGAAGAAGTTATCGTCTTCGACGAGACGCAATATAACTCTGCGTCAGAACTCTTTGATTATTTCAACAAAAATGTCATGGCGGTTGTAGGCCCTCACGGTGGAGCCATGCACCATCACCGCTGGGCAGCTCGGGGTACGCTCGTCATCGAGATGATGCCTACGACGTTCACGTCCATGGCGATATACGAAGAAGTATCAGTGCTTTCTCAGACCTATGCTGCACTGGTCGTCGAGCCCAGCTCCCCGGGAGGGTGGGATATGATTGTCGACCCTGAGGATGTGACAAAGCTTTTAAGGGAACATTTGGGCGTGCCGATGAGGAAACCGCGTCAAATGGAGGCAGAGGAGACGGGTGATGAGCATTTGGCAGAGGATCCGTTGAGGGCTAGCTATCAGTGGGGAGGAAAGGAGCTTGGATTCTGACTGTAGCAATGCTGTAGCCAGTGATCGATTGATCATAGGACGGTCCGAACGACTTGTGCTTGCAAACCCTGTCGGGATGTCAATTTGAAGTCGAGTGCCGTAGTCCGGCAACCTGTCTACGATTCCACTACTTATTGAAGTCGTTTAAAGGCATATTTTAATTGTTCTTCAAACCCATAGATTTGAATCTACTGCATCAATATCCTTGTGCTAGCAATTTGGTGTTTATAAATTCTCTTTTCAAGCCGAAGCTGAGCCGTACAATGCCGGTACGAGCCGTTACCGTGTGACTTCGGAAGGTGCTCGGCAATGGCGGCGCGACTGACGTTGGACTTACCTCGATGGTCGCTTCAGTCCCTTGGTGCTAGTACTCACTAATGCTTGCACCACATTTGAAAGAAAAGAACACGCACGAGGCATTGCTCGATGTCATAAAAATTTGGCGCCCAGTTTCGCATAAGGGAAAGATGAGGATCCTCAGGTAGTGAAACTAATAGGGTGGGCGCACTCAGCTCGTGGGAAGAATAGATATATTTAAAAAAGAATAATGGAACAAAGACAATATACCAAACAAAGAGACTCAAGACGCGACGATACCGTCATTTCGGTAATCACCCTATCCTTGTTCACCAATCTCACAAAGACACGTAATAA